GGCATATATGATTGTACTGAGGTGTCAAACTTCTATTATAAATTGATTGCATTTTTAATAATTATGCACGCACGTTCCATGAAATCAGTCTACGCCAATTGCATCGCTTGTAAATTGATCGTATTTGCATTGACTGACTATATAATGACGAATGAACAAGCCTACTTCATAATCTATGCAATTATTTCGAAAAAACAGGCAAACTTTAGAAGGTAAAGCGAGGTTCTGAAGACTAACCAGACAACTGATTGCTGGCATCGTTGATTTGTCCGCGGCAGTTGTCGGCAGATGTGAGCAAATGAAATGTTTTTCTTAAAGGTAAATACAATTGATTATTATTATTGTATATATATTTGCTATTAATTGGTGAAAAATTGGTGGATGACATCCTTAACCCCTACACTTTTTCAAAGTACAGCTTAGATGGTAATAATAGGCCCTATGTCATTTTTGGCCACCGTCTAACTTAATTCCTTAAACTGCTTGTTTATTTTATCTTTTATTTATTTTTTTAAATTTTATTTATTTTTTATTATTTGTTTTTAATGTTTTTTTTCAATATGATTCAAGGTCTGAACACTGTCAGCGCCTTGAAACGATTTTATTTATCAAAATTTAGTTTAAAACAAATGTAATTAGTGCTTTCGAGTATAAGCCTTGTTAAATGTGTATGACTGAATGTACTCGTTGCCTCAATTGGTAGTTTACGCCGCACGACGTTAACCTTAACGTTAATGGATGACGTCATAATTTATTCATCTTGCGTTGCGGAGTACGTAAATTTCAGGATTTTACGTGCTCGACGTACGTTAGTTACGGGTTTGCGCATGCGTATTTCGATTTGTTTACAGAAAGGGGCGGAGCTATCGCATTGAATGTTGGGTACTAACGTTAAAGTTAAGGTTAACGTCGTGCGGCGAAAACTACCCAATTACTCAATCTACATGGATCATATCGCGTACAGATTGTTTGTACAGAACTACTGCATAATAACGAAGAAAAATACACTTGACATACTTGACATGCATATCGTTGAAATGTTAAATTTAGAAGGACTAGCATAGTTCTTTAGACAAAACAGGCAACTAATTATTTGCATTATTGTACCCGGTTGTCGGCAAGTGAGCCAGTGAAAATGTGTTTCTTAAAGGTAGTTACACTCTTTTTATTTTATAAATTTGAGGCAATGTATGCCAGTAAAAAAAACCCTATATTATATATTCGATAGTTATCTTAAAAGTATGGCAGCACAAATTACATTCTCAACAATAAATGCCCCTGGGCCTTTATTCAAATATAAAAAGTAAAAATACAATATTCTAAATATTAAACCAATATAAATGGAATAAAATTCAAACGAGATTTGAAATAAAAATTAAACGTATACATTCATCCATAGTATCATTCATGTGCTTCTCTCACGAAACTTGTTAATAAAGCTGCTCGTTTATCGATGAAAGCTCGTAATTAATTTTCATGACTTCTATTACTCTAGAGTTTATGTTTACAATATAAGTAGTATATACTTTGCATCATTAATTAATAATTATCAAAGTCTTGGACACCGGGACATCGTCAATATACGTACCAAGTTAGAAAATAATAATAATAATAATAATAATAATAATAATAATAATAATAATAATAATAATAATAATAATAATAATCATTATTATTATTATTATTATTATTATTATTATTATTATTATAGACCTGATAGAGATTCGATTGTCAAATAAATACTGAATGAATATATGAATATGATTTGTACCTGTAGTGTCATTTTATTTAAAGTATAATATTGAGGACCCACTATTTTTATTGAACTAAAATTTAACTAAATGAGAAGACCTTGTTTGCAAGAGTACAATGTTTTTTTCATTTTTAATTAATCAAATTAGTTAATAGTAGATCTTAGAGAGAACCGATAAATATTGTTCAACTCTATTATCTTAACAGGAATTGTGTTTCTTGATATCTCTGATTGGACATTCTACAGGTAATAATACACAGTAACACGTTGATTTTCTTGATATGTTCTCTATTTGCGTTAATCCTTTACACAATTCGAATTAGCGCTTCATACTTTAAAGTTCAACATGTAAGTTAACCTTTGATATGAATTTAAAAGTTGAAAATTCAAATCTAACAACAGCCTTTGTACAAATTCTGCTTCGATTAATATTTCTCATTTTAAACAAAATAACTACGTGATATTGTTTGCCTCTATCGTGTGAATATGTTTTTCATGTGCCGGCATTGCCACCTATATAGTAAGACAGTGATTAGTCGATATTGGTTATCCTTGATCATGTGGCTAAAAGAATTAAATGAAAATAAAATATATAATTTGTTGTTTCTAATTCAAGGTTCAATCTTAAATATATAACCATAGTTTGTGTGAATTACATTATATTTAAGTATATATAATAGCTTCCTTGAAGGTTATTTGCATATGTTTTAGGTAATGATGGTGAGCTCAAATTCAATATGGTAGGCTTCACTTCAACTCCTGTTGTTAATGATATTGGGCAAAATGATGTTCGTGGTTACACACTGGGCTCCGATAGATCAAATAATATCACACTCAACATTTTACTCGTAGTCAACACAAGTCTATCAGGACAACCGCTATGCGAAAATCCTCTCTTGGATGTTACATGTGAATTAACAACAATTCCTAAGGTAAATTCGACTCGGCTTGAAGCTCACATTATTAGCAATGCTGAACCTCGAATAGGCGTATTTACTGCGTACGCTGAGAAGGGTAATCGAAGTGGCACTGCTACTATAATAGTTCACCATGCAAAGAGTAAGTTTTCTTATTTTTCATTTTTCCATTATCAATTCACTGTGGTAATTGGCAACAACAACAACAACTACTTTGGGAACGTACTGAGTATTCCCTACGTTAACACATCAGGTAGGGCAAAAGATCATCCCAAGAACACAAACAAGAACAACAATCATAATGATAACAACTACCGTAATAATAATAATAATAATAATAATAATAATAATAATAATAATAATAATAATAATATAATAGTAATAATAATAATAATAATAATAATAATTATATAATAATAATAATAATAATAATAATAATGATGATGATAATATTAATAATAATAATAGGCCTAATTATAATAAAAATAATATATTATTATTATTTTTATTACTATTATTATTATTATTAAGAATAATAATAATAATATATCAGATATCTAGAAAACTATATAATTTTGCGCTATGTATTAACAATTTCGTACCACAGCCCCAAGCATGGTGAGACTGAGGTAGCGTAAATCCCCTATCTGTAAAATTTACTGTCTGTACCCCTCCCTTCCTGTTTCTATCAAGTCTAAGATTCAAGATGTAATTTAGCAAATCATCTTCTATCCATAATATTTTTGGTGGAATTTGTACAAATTAAATGGGGGATTAAATTACTGGTACCGTACCAAATTTTAAGTATGACAGTGCCGTATCCGGCGATCTGGAAATGCTATAGACATAAAAAAAAAATTAAAAAAAAAATGTTGCTCCTCATCCCCCAACCATGGTGAGGCTGAGGTGGTTTCTATTCCAGAATTCGCCACTGTTTAATGTTTTATTTTCTTCATTGGACAATGACAAACTATTCCGAAAGTTTCAATTAGATCCATTTATAACTTTTTTGTATTGTTCCCCGAAAATGACAAAAAATCTCGAAAACAACCCACCCATTCCACAGCAACGCACAAACTAGCAACCTGAGCACAGAAACTATTGAATTAAAAAAAAGCCAACAAATTTCTCAATCTTCTCCCAAAAATATATTTTTTATAATCAATGCAGAGATTTAACAGCAATTCTGGGTTAAGTGTATTTACCCTAAAAATAATTGATTTGTAATCCAATATAGGCTTAATTGTAATGTTGTGTTACCCATTCCACCATATTTGAAAGTCTGACCATGGTTTTACCCTATCACCATGATATCACAGTTCAAAAGATACTCACCCTATTACTGTGAATTTTACGAAGTGGACATAGACCACAATCATTATTCAGAATTTGTATTATTCAGAAATTTCATAAGATTGTCAGGGGCGGATCCAGAGATGTCCAAAAGGGGTGGCCGAAAGGGTGAGGGGGGGCGGTAGTTGGGCCGAAACAACACCATTCTAGGGGGTACGGGGGCATGCCTCCTCGAAATTTTTGTGTTCTAGACGCCCGAAAATAACATTTCTGGCGTTCTGGGCTATCAGTTTTTTCTTTTTTTTTTTCTTTTTTTTAAATTCTTTTTTTAACTTCACAAAAAGGGGAAGGGTCGCCCCCCTCCCCTAAATTCGCCCCTGATTGTGATTATTTTATTTTATTGATAATCCTGGGATATTTTTTAATCTTGAATACATTTAAATGGTAAAGAATAATGCAATTTAACTCGTTTTTAAATATAGTGATTAGTCACTACAATATTTTATTGGGAGGTAAGTGATTCAATAAGTCCATGAATTAATAGGCCTATTTGATAAATTGTTGTATTCTCATGCTTTCGTCCTCAAGCATTTGGAGTAATTTTTCTTTTAAAATAAAAATAAATGCATCTTGATTACGATTAATATCAGGATCAACGTTTTGAGTTCCGAATCAGCATTTTTCGCGCTTTTTTCAGTTCCTTTCAGTTCCGAAAAAAGTTGAACATGGGCAACTGAAAGGAACTCAACTCAACTCAACTCAACTTGACTCATGTCGACAAATATGCGCGACTGTCAGTTCCTTTCAGTTCGACGAGTTGAGTTGAGTTGAGTTGAGTTCCGTGTCGACTTGAGCCTGCCTTTACTTGTATCAAAAAGCCTATATTGTAAAACCACATAATGTCTATGTCCTGCTTTTATTCAAGACACTTGGATGGGCTTATTTATTTTTGTTAGTGCCCTGGATAGTACTTCTTTTGAAATGAATGTCAAAGAAACAGAAATAAACAATAAAAATAAGCCACGTTTCACAGCATTCATAAAAAATAAATCGCTACATGCAAGGTTCAAGACTACTATACATAGGATACAGAAAATAAACAAGAATTTTTAAAATAGACAAAATATATATAAATAATTTTGAATTAGAGTTGGAGGTGCTTATTAACGTTGCTCTCTTTATTGTAAAAAGAAGCCAATTTTTTATTTTGCAAGCGTAATAATATTATTATAGACTTGCCACAAGTATCTAATTAAATTTATTGATTTTTCGTAGTATTAGCACATTTCGGAAAGCGCCACCAGCGTCAGTTTACGTTGAGAAACTTTTGTGATGCGTGCTAATCCCAGAAAAAGTACACTATGGAACGCCATACAAATAAGTATTATAGAACGCCATTGGTGCCAAAATCGATTTATTCTTAAGCATTTTAACTGATTAAGACAAATATTAGGGACTAGAACCCAGTCTATATTATCTAAAGAAAGTCCTGAAAAGAAGTCATGTTACTTTATGGGCTACTTTTTGAGATGGGTTTTTCCGAGATTACTTTTAAAGAGGGTGTTTCTTCTCGATATGGGCTTCTTCTTGTGGTTAAGCCTAGTTTTTAGCTAGTATTTGAAAGCCCACTTAACAAAAACTGATTTTTGTTTTCAAAGCCCCTGTAATACCAATTGTTCGCACCAAGACTGTCAGTGTATGTGATAGTAACGTTACATTGAGCGTAAATCAATCTAGTGGAAATATTGAAAGCTTACGATGGGCGAAGAATGGAGATTATAACGAAGAATGGGATGGGCTAACGGAGATCTTTTTCAAAAATATTACACTGAATGATTCTGGGATTTACGAATGTTATATAAATGGCAGCCGGAATGAAGGAAAATACGCATTCATGCAGATGATAGTAAGAGGTACGGTAGGTAAATTGAACTTCGACACATTCATTTATTTGTAAATATAATTTATACTGATTAAAAGTAGTCATATCTACGTAGACAATGAACATTCCTGCAAAGCTGCGCCCCTTGCATATTGTTGCTATGGTGCAACAAAACCACAGGAAGAATGAGCGCGTATGTTATTTATCTGGATCTTGCTAACCGTTAGCTGCCGTGTGTGAGCATAGCCAGTGTTAAAACGTACCAAAAACGTACACGCGTATTCCTGGCCCTGCTCTGATTGGTCAGTAGTTACGTTTAGCTCTCTAGAAAGGTCCCATTTCGGATTGTAAAATAATGTGCAAGAGCAGATAGATGAGATGATGGATGAGAGTAGAAATGATGAAAGGAGGGACAGAGGGAGAGAGGAAATAAATAATTAATAAAATGAGCTAATGTTTGGATAAATGGATGGACGGAAGAAAGAAAAAAAAAACCATTGTAAATTGTTTGTATTTTCCTCTATCTGAAATTCCACAAAACAATGACTTTTGTTAGTTCAAAGAAATTCATTTAGTATCTTATAAAATACTTCATTTTTTTCTTTTGAAAATATATTTGTATTTTATGATATGATTATTTATAGATAATTATTAACATTGTGAGGTGTTAATTTCATTCAGTGGCGTAGTAATTGGCAACGTTGAATTTTCTGAAAACGCGAATCGGTATCTTAATTATCATTTTTATACTTTAAATTCAAAATTCGGCTAGTTGAAAATGTCAGAGCATCTGCTACCCCACAAATGCCCAGAACACAGGGGAAATTAGTAGTTCCTATGCCTACGAGGCTTAACATGAAAGCGCCCGGTAAATAATTTTGCACTGGCGACCGTTCTCATCTAGCTACGCCACTAATTTCGTTTATTTACACTTCAATTTAGATTTAACATTGTATTTAGCAGGGTTGGCTTGTGTTTCAGAATGTCCACATAACAAATGGTCCCCGCCGAATTGCATTATGGAGTGTGACGTTTGCTACAATGGAGGAGTGTGCGATACATACATCGGAACCTGCATATGTCCTTCGGGATTTATTGGAAATAGATGCGAAATACGTGAGTAGGCCTATTATACAAATACAACATAAGTCAATGTTTATTATCTATTCTTGTAGTGATTTCTACTTAAAATAACTTTGGACTTCAATAACTTAAGATTCTATAAAAGCATTTAGACAAAACCTTTAGAAAATGTATACAAAAGATATGTATTATAGAAGCCGGAATAAAATGTAAATACTTCTCTAATAACTAAGTATTAAGAATATTGAATTGATTAGCGGGTTGATGTACGCACAACGTAACTCAGCTCTCGCATATGGTGGCAGAATTTAGAAAAGAAAATATGATTAGATTGCAGACCTAAAACTTCAATTGAAATTTGGAACGACAAAAACTTCATACATTATTATACGGGTTTAATGCAATATATATATAC